GCCAGGGTCACGGCTCCCATGTGGGCTCTGCTCACCCACAAGGACATTCTGGATGGGAGACCTGACTGCCGGCTGCAGCACGTGGAGGGGAGCCGGATGGGGGAACCCGGGGCAACATGAAAGGACATTAAAGAGCACAGCGCAGCTTTAAAGAACATGGCTTCCCCGCCGGTGAGCTGCAGGGCAGCGTTTGGGGTCCATCAGGTCAAATAAAATCTTACAACCGATTTCCTGTTTCTTTTTACTTTTCCACACTGCCGACTAGAAAGCCCCAGGCACACACGCAGCTGCCTTTGATTTCTGCCGCACCACAGAGCCACCGCCACCACAGACAAGACAGGACAGGCAGGATCTCCCGCGCCACTGTTCCCGCACCACTGTCTCCCCACGGTTCCACGGGGTGGGCTCTGCCTTCGTGCAACTGACTCATAGGAGGGAGCGGAGGCCCAGAGAAGCAGCAGCCTTCCGAGACACGAGGGCAGGGGAGGACGGGCTGGGCACGGCTGGGCAGCGGGGCCTGTGTGGAGACGCGCCCCTCGGCTCACCTCCCACCCCCGCCCGCAAGGTGCATGGAGTCTCTGGAGGCTGAGCCATCCCCAGGGCCCCTACACACCGTGGTCAGCGTCACCAGAAGACAGCAGATGAATTAATGACTGAATGAACGACAGCGACCACGGGGCCCCTCCCACAGGTGGCCCAGGGCCAGGGCCCTGCCTGGGGGACACACAGCCCTGAGAACCATTCTAGGTAGGGAAGGCTGAGGGGCCTGTGTCCGGCAGCCAGCAGGGTCTGGCAGGCCTGCGAGGGGACAGCCACCACGGGCCACTTCCGCAGCGCCTGCCTGGAAGCTTCACAGCTATGTTCCCTCCTCGGGCAGAGTCCAGATACACAGCGGCAGGGCTGTTTGTGCAAGGCTAACTATTAATGCCAAGTCCACAGGGACAGCACGCGAGGAAGCCCTGCTCTTCCATGAGAAGCATGAAAAATTTATTAAACTGGGGCTGCTGGGACCAAGCTTCAAGTTAAAGATCCAAATTCATTCCCCTTCCTACAATTTATGGTTTTCGTCTGCGCTAACTGCAGTCATAAGGAACGCGAGGACTCAGGAGGCCCCTTGCTCTTCTTCTCCCTCTTGGGGAGGCGGTGTGGGAACTGAACCCCGAGGTGCTGGCTGTCCCTGAGCTGCAGCCCCAGCTCTCCCTGCACTTTACTTTTTATTTAACTAAGTCGCTTAGCTGCCCAGGTCAGACCTGAACTCCAAACCCTCCTGCCTCAGCCTCTAGGCGAGCTGGACCCATCAACAATTGCCACACAGTGGGGCAGCCGACTCCTACTGTCACAAAGGAACCCAGTGCTTCCTGTGTGGATGATTCCGTCCTGTTTTGAATCAGAACTGTCACCACCAGGCAAGGCAGGGAAAGGGGAGACAGAGGCACCGGGTTCAAGGCCTGCCTGACCCACTGCTTGGGATGCTGGCTCTGAACGGGTCCCACGGAACCTGACACGGGCCTGGCCACCCACTGAGATAAGGGCCTCCTGCCCTCAGCATCCCCATCCTGGGGCTCTGGGAAGCACAGCCCCACCTCAGCTCAGACCCTGAGCAGAAACCACAGCTGAGCGCTCCCAGGCTCTGGGGTCACGGCATGCCAGCTGGGGAGAACTGGGCACAGACGGGTCACATGGTGGCTCTGCTGCTTACTTATCAGCTGTGTGACTGGGGCCAAGACACTCCCTGTCCCCAGCCTGTCTATGAAAGGGAAGTACCAGGATGGGCCCCACCAGGTGACCACAGGGACAAGGGAACTGTCGAGGATGAATCCACACAGCAGGGAGGCCCCCAGGGCTCAAGAGCACCGCCCCGCACACTGTGGTTCCCTGCAGTGTCAGTGCTGCCAGGTGCTGAGCTCAGGAGGACGTGGGGAGCAGGACAGTCACCCACCTCATCAGGGAGATCCCCACGTGGCCAGGGGCTGACAGCACAAGGCTTGGCAGGCTGGTGGTCATGTGGCTGGGGTGGGGTGCACGGGGCTCCCCAGACCTGGCTATGGCAAGTGGTGGATGAGAAGGATGGAGAAAGGGCATAGGGGGCCCGGACCCCGACCTCCACCAGCAACCTGACTACAGATAGGCAGGGGTGCAATCCAGCCTGGGTCCCTGCCTTCTCCAAGCCTGCATCCCCGGAGACCCCGTGTGCTGGCGTACACCCTCTCTAGAACCACCTCGGGTGCTCCCGGGTGCCTGAGACTGGCTACGGCCGCAGGGGCAGCTGGGCAGGAACCCCAGGCCCTGATGCCTGCTTCAAGGACTCAGTTTCAACATGGGCATGCTAACCCGCTCACCACAGATGCTCCGGGGACTCCAGGCACCCCCATACTGCCAGATACACCCCAGGCCTAGAAGCCTAGCTCCCTCCAACAGGCTGGGGCTGAGGAATCCCTCACAGAGGGATCCCGAGCTGCGCTGCAGCTGGCGGGGGCGTGCTGGACTGTGGCTGGCTTAGCGTATCTGTGGCCAGGGTCCTGCACACATGGTTCACCTAGGCCCACGGTTTCCGGCCAGGCCTCAAAGCCTACGTGTGCTCAGGAAACGCTGGGCCGCTGACATTATGCCGCTTCCCCAGCACACAGGTGCAGGCAGGAAGGGAAGAAACCGGCGAGGTGTCACCCACAGTCATGCGCAATCTGTCTTGGAACAAAGAAACTCGAGGAGCCAGAGGGGCACCTGGCAGCCTTGGTCCCCGCTCTGCAGAACGCGGTGCCACCTCCCCCAGACCAGCAGCTCATGCCCTCCCTGGCGGGCACCACACAGCCTCTCTCTGGTCACAGCTGCCCCGTGGAGACAGGCCAGGGGCTCCATCCGTTCCCACAGAGATGGCCAGGCACGGGCTGGGGCTGGTAGAGCCATGGAACCCTCCCAGAAAGCACAAGGAAGGCCCTGACGCTCCAGGCCCAAGCCCAGGAGAGCGCTGTGACCCAGGCAGCACCCAGGCTAACTCCAGGCGGCAGGCGGCGGGAAGACCGAGGCTCTGGCTCCCCTAAGCCACTCAGCAGCCCAGGCTCCCACCGGCCAAGACACCACGGGCCACCCCAAGTCCCAAGGACCAGCCCTGCCCGAACGTGGCGCTGCCCTCTCCCCTGCTGGGACCCGGGGGCGCCTCCCCTCCCCGGCCTCCCCATTTCCCGCCACCCCCGCCCCCGCCCCTGCCCCCCGCCCCTGCCCCTTACTCAGCCAGCTCCTCCAGGCTGCGGTAGACATCCTCATCATTCTCCGCGGTCTCCTCGGAGGGAAAAGGCCTGGGGAGAGAAGAGGACAGAGAGGACTCGGGTGACCACAGGGGCCGGACACTGGGTGTCGGGGACAGGACCCTGGCAGCCGGAGAGCTCGCTCTGAAGCCTCAGGGCCGCCGCTTCCTAGCTGGAGGTCTCAGCGAGCACCTAAACCTCTCTGAGCCTGCAGGCCCCACAGCCAGGCCCCACCCAAGGCAAGGTCCACATGGATGCAGCGCAGCACCCAGCTTGTCCCCTGCGTGCCAGGGACGTCTGAAGGGACAAGGAGTCTGGACCTGGGATGGCAGAAGTACCCGCCTTTCCCATGGACACCTCCAGGTGAGATGCTGCATGTGAAGGTGGCAGTGCCAGCCACCCAGGAGGGCACACAGGAACGCCAGGTGCCCAGCACCGTGACACCTGCCAGCACCTCGGATCTACCTCTCTCTGACCACCCCAAATAAAGCAACACCCGCTCTCTCCACAGGAGCACACACTTGGAATGGGGGGCCCCAACTTCTGCCAGGGACCTGCTCCGGGAGGGAAGCGGAGCAGGGTGGGGTCTGCCTCCCGCTGGCCCGGGCAGCACAACAACCACCAGATAGCCTCCTTCCCTTCCTGAAGGAATGTGCTCCGTGCTCCCCAGGACCCCTGCACCCCCACTTTTGGCAGACAGCGTGATCTGGGTGAGCTGCCACTTCGGAGTTTCCTATTTCTGCGGGACGCCCGTGCACAGACGGAAAGGAAATTGCTTTGCACCTGCCTTGTGTCACCCAAACCCAGACGAACAAGCTCCAGGGGAGAGGGAAGCAAGGGTTTTGCCCCGCAGCCTCTGCAGACAGCGGGAGACCCCAGGGTCAGCTTCCTGTCTCCGCAGAGCCCGCTCGCTCCATGCCACCCCAGGAGCCCAGTGCCAGGAGGGAAGTGGGGAGCGCACATCAAAGGCCTCGTCAAAAGCAGTAAGGAGATGAAAGTCCTTTTTAATTAAACCAAGCACCCAGCAGCCTCGGGCGTCTCCTCACCCTTCCTGCCGCCTGCCCACCGGGTCAGGCTGACATCTGCCTGCACGGTGAGTCAGCAGCCAGGTGTCCAGCAGCCTCCGGGTGATGCTGAACCAAGGGCCTGGCCCCACTGGGCACTCGCAGACCCAAGAGACCATGAGCCTAGGTCTGGGGCTGCCACTGGGCCACGTCCCCTACCCCAGGGCTTTGCGTCGGCAGCCCGTGTCCAAGGCAGCAGCATGTCCCCTGGGTGGTCTCTACCCGGCAGCTCCGCCCCTCTCCTCCCGCCTCTCTGCCTCTCCGGTCAACAAGGCAGCAGAACTCAGGAGCAGTATCTTCGGTTCACCATGACACACTGGCCACCTGGAGGAGGCCCTCCTGACTCAGCTGTGCTCTCAGCCAGGAAACCCTGGAGGGAGCCGGGTCACCCCGCTCCACAGCAGAGCCCAAACTGACCCGAAGCCTGTGGGCTGATGGGGTACAGCGTTGAGGAGCAGGGCTCAGCTCCTCCTAGCTCCTCCTGTGACCCCAGCTGCCAAAGGGGCGAGAACTGCGGGACTGCTCCCTCCCCACCCTCAGCACCCTGGGTCAGGTCACCAGCACCATCCTCAGCCCCACACCAGCCCTGCACTTTCCACACCTCCTTGTTTTCATTTAAGTTCATTTTCAGGTCAGGCGTGGTGGTGCACGCCTGTCACCCCAGCACTAGGGAGGCTGAGACAGGAGGGCTGAGAGTTCGAGACAGCCTGGGCCTCACAGCGAGAGTTCAGGGCCAGTATGAACTGCATAGCGAGACTCTGCCTCAGCAGAACAAAATGAAACAAAATCTGCTTCTGGTGCTGGGGAAGCCTGCCAACCTATGCCCCTCGAGCACTGCAGGACCGTTTCCTCCTACACAGAGAGCTGGTGGCCACCAGAGCAAGGCATCGTGGTAACCTCGGGGCTTTTCAAAAACGACTGTGTGCACACGCTTCCCTTGTTTCACTTTTCTGTCTTTCAGGGCCTTGCGGTGGCCCCTCCTGTCATCTCATCGCCTGCAATCCTGTGGAAGTTCAAGTGAGAAGCTAAGGTGGGGAGACTCACAGCGCCTCCCAGGATTCTTGTTCTGCCACCACCATCTGGAGCCTCAGCGCCCCTAAGAATGGAACCGCAAATTCGATGGCCTTCTGCCACAGCCAAAGGAAGCCAAGACAGGCCACACAAGTCAGGGTGACAAAGGCAGGGAGGGAGGCGCCCGGGCCCAGAGCTGGACTGGGGGGTGCCTAAGATGGGGTGGAGGTTGTGCTAGTCCATGGCCCTTCGCACCCTCAGTCCTCCAGGGCTGCTCCACCTCAGCCTCCCACACGCTCCCGGCCCTCACTCCAACCACGTCGTAACGGCTCCCAGGACTCAAGGCAAAGCCCACCTTTGGCAGGAAGACCTGACTTTTCTCTGTCCGGGTCCCTCCCCTGAGCAGGTTGCCATGCACCAGAATGGCAAAGATGGGTGGGTGGATGGTGGGGCGGGTGGTTGCTGGGTGGTGGATGCACGGGTGGAGGGTGGAGGGCGCATGCTCGGGCAGGCAGGTGGCTTTCACGGTGGCCAGATTCGCGGGTGGCCAGGCCAAGAGCTGGATGGACGCTGTTCCCAAGCCGCTCTGCCACACCCGAAAGGACGCAAAGTGTGGCCTGCACTAAGACACCGCCCAAGTGAGCTGAGGAGGAGCCCTGAGCCTCACAGACCACTGGGACATCTGTGCAGACAGTCTCTGGGCAGAGTCCAGGAGGGCCAGCAACAGGGGTCACTGTGGTCACCTGGCCAGACTCAGCCCTTGCCCCGTCCTCAGACACCAGCTGAGCCTGCATCTGCCCCAGCGGCCCGCCCGGCTGCACGGAGCGCCAGGCATCAGCCTGCGGCACTCCTCGTCGGTGAGAGCAAGGTCGAGCTGGCCCCCAGGGCAGTGCACTCCTCTGCCCATCCTCTGCCTTTCCTGAGGACTCATTTCCTGTGCCTGCCTGCTGGGACACCACACCTCCCGTAGCACCAGCCAGGGATTAGGCGGATCATGGCACAGGAAGCCAAAGCATCACAGGCCGTCTGCTCCACCCCAAGCCGCCTCCACAACCTGCCCTCCTGCGAGTCCCCACTGAAGGAGGCCCATCCCATGAAGACGACTTCAGCACCAGCTGTGGGTCCCCATGTGCCCAGGACAATGGGCCTCAGTGCCAGGACCAGAGGAGGAACTCGGAGCCAGAATGGAAGAGGAGGACGCAAAGATGGGACACATAGAAGGGCGCTTGAGCCACACCTCAGAGGAGGGACAGAGGAGACACAATCCTTCCTCCTTCGCCTTCTCTCCAGTCCACGTCCCCAGGCATGTACTGGGCACCTGCTCGAGCTGGCCAGCAGGCTGCAGGAGCTGCGCACATCCAGTCCTGGAATCCACGCAGGCCTTCTGGTCCCTGCATTCGGGACTGCAGGGACATTCCGCTCTGAGCTGTGGACCCCGCAGGCAGGTGCACACAGCTGCTTCGGGAAGCCACCAAGGTCAGGAAGAAGTGGTGGCCCAGGTGTGGCAGAGATCCTGGCACTGAGGGAAGGAGACCCCAGGCCAGCCTGGACCCCAAGATCTCTGCGGAATACAGGATGCTGGCGGATTTGGTTTCTAACTCAAACCTGGGGGCGGTGTCAATGAAGAGTCACTCACAGAGCCCCTCCTCCAGGAGGTTCTGGCCCGGCTCTTGGGGGTGTTAGTGTCACGCCCGCCCAGGCCTGGTAAGGGCTGGAGGGTCATGCAGGGGCCTGATGGAAGCACGCTCTCCACATGACATCGGGGACGGACACCAAGGCAGCTTGCACACCTGGTGCCACTCCCCACCCACCTGTGAAGAGCACTGGGCTGGGGGTCACTGACCCACGGACCCCATCTGGCAGGGGCTAACCACATTATTTCATCTAATCTGCAAACTCCAACCCCAAGGCAGGCACATGGCCAAGAGATGCTGCCCTGGGCCTGGCGCCCCCACACACTCCAAGCTGAGCATCACCTGACTCATCACGTGCGGGAGGCAGGGGTGGGGTGGGGAGTGGACAGCTAGGCCTCTGCAGAGACAGACTGGGTTCAAACCCTGGCTCTGCAGGCCACAGCCTCAGTTTCCCCAAGCGCAGTATCTGGGTAGAGAGTGCAACTGCTTAGACAGAGATGGGGACACGGGTGCATCCTTGTGCAGTGGCCCCTCACCCTCGAGCACCACCCTGGCACCCAGAAACTCCACAGCTGCCCAATCCTGTGCCCTCTAGGCTGGGGTCAGCAGCCAGCCCCTCCCCTGACACACACCTGCAGCCTTGCTCCACTGGACTCTGGGTAGGGAAGGTGGCACTGTGGAGACTCACAGGCCATCATGGTGGCTTCGGCCAGGGCACGCATCAGGCGCCTTTGGCACCAGCAAACTTGAAGGCACGTCAAGACCCCAACCAGGACACGGGCCCATGTAACTAAGCACACCTGGGTGAGGCTTTCTAATGGGGGGCCTCAGAACCCCTGGGACATGGGAGAGGCTTACCAAAGCGGCACTCAGCCACGTGACCCCTCCCTAAAAGGAACTGGGGACAAGACCAGGGCATCACAGCCAGGCCACACATCCCACCTGAGGCCACACCTGCTCGGCAGGTCAGTGTCAGATTGCAGGGCGGTCCCCTGGGAGGACACAGCACACAGTGCAGAGGCAACCTGGCTGGGGGAAATGGGAGCAGCCTGGACAGCTCATAGGGCACAGTCCCAGCCTGTGACACCTGTGGGGCCCCGTGGACCTCGCAGGGCAGGTGGCAAGCACCTGCTTCCCAGGCAATCTGAGAGGGGACTGGGGTGACATGGCCCTCCCTGTGATTTAGAGGCTGGAAGTGGGAGCTGGGCAGAGGGACAAAGGACTTGGTATGCTGGGGAAAGAAGGACCGGGACTCCAGTGCCAGTCAGGTAGGGACAAGGTCTGATGGGGCCAGAGCGCAGTGACCTCGGGGCTGGTCCAGGTCTGACCAGCAGGATCTTCA